AAGGAAACTTGCCCAAGGTTTCGCCCTCTGCCTGGAATTGAACTCAGGTCTCTCACTTGCAAAGCGAGTGCTCTAACCACTGAGCTACAGGACTCCACATAGTGTGAGCCCTAAAATAGATCAACTCAGCAAGGCATCAAAAGTGGCATAGAATTCACCAACCTTACTCTAAAAGTGACATTGTAGCCAGGCCACTGAAGGATTGAGGAACTTTTCAGCCCAATGAAAACCCATTTACTTTTCATCACTATAACAGATAGGCTGCTGACACCACTTATTGTACCTGGGAACCCAAGATCATACAGTATAAAATGGAAAAACAATATTGAGTAAAGAGGATCACGTAAGATCAAAAGCAAATGCATTAATGATTCTATTGCACTGTATATGGAATTTCACTGTAATTTATGACAAATTTTCCTGAAACAATGGCACCATAGAGCAGTGTAACACATTTCAGCAATTTATTCAGTACTACATCTACTTTATAAATATTATTGTGGAGTCCTGTAGCTCAGTGGTTAGAGCACTCGCTTTGCAAGCGAGAGATCTGAGTTCAATTCCCGGCAGGGTGAAACCTTGGGCAAGTTTCCTTACTCCACACAGAGCCTAATAATAATCCCTTCAAAAACCAAAAACAATAATAAAAAAAAATTGGTCATTTTCAATCTACGACTGTTTGTGGGACATTGCTGTGCGCAATTGGCTGCCGCGTTCGCCCACAAATATACAGTCAATTCACTTTACAGTGTGTTCTGTGAAGCGCTTTGGGACGTTCTCCCGACGTGAAAAGCGCTATATCAAATGCAAGGATTATTATTATTAAAAAAGAAACAAGAAACCTTAGAAGTATTTTGCAGAAAGTGTAACCAGTTTCAACGTCCACATACTTTATATATAACATTTTATATATAACAACAATAATCCTAGCACTTGATATGGGCCCCTTCTAGTCTGGTGGATGTCTCAAAGCGCTTCATAGGATGTACTGTGAAATGTAGTAACTATGTAGGTGAACTCACAGCCAATTTGCGCACAGCATTATCTATAACTGTTTGTATGCCTGCATTAGTCTAGCTCATTCTTCACTTTTCCTGAGATACCCGCAGAAAAAAATGTTCAAAGGATATGACTATTGTAGGGCTCACACTATTGATAAATAAGTTTTTAAAATTCAAATCAAGATGGATGCATGACCTTTTTAACAATAAATGTATAAAGCCTATGAAATAAAAGTATTTTGTTTTTCTGTGCTAAACAGCATTGAACTGAATGACCAACTTTATCTGGGAGATTGCTGGCCACAAAACCAGGAGAAATTCGCTACTCTTTCCAAATAGTGCCATGGGATCTTTTGCCAAATTCTGAATGCTGTAAAATGCTACATAAATTTAAATAAATCTAGACACAAGTAGAATTCCCCTTCCCCATTATATAATTTCCAATGGTCATTATCTAAAACTGTTTGTATGTCTGCATTAGTCTAGCTCATTCTCCCCGAAATACGCGCACAAAAAATGTTCAAGAGATATGACATGGCAAAGTGATCGTATCATGTGGTAACTGCATCTCAGCAAATATTTATTTGTTGCACAACTTTCAGGAAAAAAAAAGCCATTTAGATACCTATTTTTGTGGTTACTTACAGGAAACAAATTAGCTAGAATGCAGGTTTACAAAAACGTTAAATATTGTCAATGGTAGTATATTTTAATGTGCACAAAAAATTCTTCTTGAAGGCATCTGGACAGATTTCATACTGTATAAAGAGGAGGACAAATAAGAATTACAATCATTTTCAAAGTTTGATCCTTTGACCTAACAGCATTTGGTAAATTCCAATTAATCATAACACAAAACTTTTACATTTTTAAATGGGGAGCATTGCTGTGTTCCTTCAGAAATAACAGGACGGTGAAAAATGCGAAATCTGATATTGTAATTATCACCAGTAATAGCACATTAATCCTTGTCTGAGTTTCAGTTAATGTCAAGCTGCAAGTGAACACTCACCCAACCCCCACTCTCATCGCAGACTTCCATCACAATAATTGGATCTAAACCTAAGCAATGGCTGCAATTGAATTTCCTGCCCTGGAGATTGCTGCATTTCAGTGATGGGTCTCACAACATTTCAAACTCAATTTGAATTTGCAAGATAGCAATTTGAATGGCAGCCTTGGTCCAGCTTGGAGCCCAACCACAATAAAGATTGGAGGGGGAATGTTGAGCCCTGGCCAGACATTGACTAAGATGAAACTTTTCACAATGTGATCATATCACCAATGATAATCCCCAAGAACAACAATGGATTTTTTGTTCCTAGACAGAATTCAACTCGTGAAATTCATTTTCCTTTATAGCCAGAGAGACACCCAGCATAAGCTTCAGTATGATAGGACTCAATGGAGGATAAGACGCTTTCAATTTTCATTTAGAAAAATCTAATATAGTTTATCTAGTGATTATTTGTGACGTAGTAGCAGAACAGTACTTCAGTATAATTTAGACTTCTAATGCTTTTTTTTACTAATTAGTGATGGCGTGATGTTGACAATTCAATTTTGTTCAAGCACAACTAAATTAATCTCCAAAAACAACTCCTGTGGAATACTGTAATCTAACCTTCTAAGCTACGATGAAGTTTCCAAACAGATGCCAGATCATTTTTGTCAATATCAATGTAACCACTTAATTGCATTCCCAGGTAAGAGATTTGATATAAAAGTAGTTTTTGTCTTTCATTCACAGAGCTGTATGCTTGACTATGCATAAATATTGTCTTTAAAATAGAAAATGTTTTGAGGGACTCTTGGGAGTCTGTTTGTAATGTTTCCAATATAAAATACACCACACCAGAAATGGGGCATTGCCTTGTTATACTAAATTGTTCCGAATAAAGGAGGCTGTGCTTCCTGTACAAGTCTAGTGAACCATCTAATGCATAACAGAAGGTACTGTGCTGAGTATTTTTTCTCTCTAGATCGGGTCCTTCATATATTGATAGTTTGATCACCATGCCAATAGGCAAGAAGACTGAGTTATCTTCTGAACTTCTATAGACAAGAAATTAATTTCTGAAATAAGTTTCCAAAACCTTAGACTACCTTGGTCGAAAAATGCCAACGCAGAATTTTGCCAAGAAAATGGAAAATAATCATGTAATAAGATGTTCTCAAGTGGAATCAATGAGTCAAAATAACTGGTTGGGTAACCTTTGATGTGGGTAGAACAGATGATTGTTTATTGAGAAATAACATGTACAATTAGCTCCCTTTTTTATGAGACAGGAGGAGCAGCTGATCCGACCAAAAAACAGCAATTCAGAAAGGAATAGGTTTGTTCCTCTTGAGAAGACATTCAAGTCTCACAAATCATCCCTTTGGTCAATTATGGGCTCAGCACACATCACCAAAAATAGTGAAAAGTAAAATACCGCAGATGCTGAAAATCTGATATAAAATGGTGAGACTGAACATTATTTTTTTAGATGACAAAGTTAGATATTGAATATTCTCAAGAGAAGATCATCAACTAACTGAATTGTAAAGTATTAGTAAAGTATTAGGTCCTTTACAATAAGGAGCTCAGGAAATCCTGCTAAACTGGGTGGGTCCAAACATTTTCAAGATGCGTCACAAGTAAGCCTTTTGCCCTCAGCATCCATCAATTACATTGGTGCAATGACAACGGGAATCAGAAGAAAACTGCAAGCATTAACAATCATCATCATAGTACCATCAAGTATTGTTTGGCATGACATCCTTAAATGTTAGGTTCTCAAAACAACTGAAAAATAGTGATTTTAATGCCTAGAACTACACTGACGTTCTGACAAAGGGTCGTGGACCCGAAACGTTAACACACTTTCCTTTCTCCATGAATGCTGCCTGACCTGCTGAGCTTTCCCAGCTCTCTCTGTTTTTCTACAGAGGTGATGTCTATACAGGTCCTCATTTCCTCCCCATTCCCAGCAGTAATTTCTCTCATCACAAAGGATTGAAACAAGCTGACAACATTGCACATATTCGTTTCAACATGCTTGTCAATGCCTGGATCTGCACATGCATGAAAAAAATTGCATAGGTTTGAAAAATTGCAAGCAGTTACTGTAACTCCAGTCTAACCACTCACATAACTCTACTGTTAGAAGCAATAACTGTGGCATAAGTCGTTAGTTTTTGTTGCTGTAGTTTTTAATATGGATAATGTATATGGTTTACATTTGCTTTAGCAAATTGATGTCAAACAGGTTTATCAACTATCCAGTTGTTATTCTGTCAATTTTACAGGAGGAAGGCTTTTTAAAATAACAACTTTATTAATACAATTAATTTATTCAAATGGTCACAGTCCCTGTTTTGCATATGTGAATATTAACATTATTATTAGTGTCCAGGTCTAAAATAAAATCTTGTTTTTGATAATTATTCAGGGAGGACAGGTTTGCAGCGCTATGGGGAGAGAGCTGGGAGTGGGATTGATTTGAAAGCTCTTTGCAAAGAATTGGTACAGACACGATGGGTCGGATGGCCTTCTGTGCTGTATAATTCTATGACGACATTACAAAAAATATAAAATAAACCCAATTTGAACCAGAGACTGCATTCAATCTGATTTTAACAAAAATCCTCATACGTATTTCATAAGGGCCAACAACGCACTTTGATATCGCAGTACCAACGACAACTGCATAACCTTTTGGCGTTAAAATACGAAAAAATGAGACGGATCAAAACACAGTCAGTCTCTCAGCGGCAAAGATAACATAATAACTCCGGGTCTCCGGTTGAAATTAGTTTGACGACTGACAACATTAGAAAGGCTATAATTTGCTGTATTAAGGGGTGAAATCCAATAGGCGAGCCCTTCCATTAGGGAATTTTAGTATCGGCAACTGCGAGGACAAAGATAAACCCGGCGACACACACAGCACTTTCCTGGTTAAAAAAAACATTAATTTTTAAAATGAAAAGAGAGCCCTCGCCACCGCCTCTTACCTAAGAGCAACTCGCACAGAGCAATCCTCTTGTCCAGGCGCCGCCATTGCACCGTAAATACCAAATCGTCAAATAAAGCTCTCAAATCTCCGGCGGAGGAGAAAAGCGATTAAAGTCAAATCGGCTCCTCAGCCGCTCCTGTTACAGGAGGTGACGCCGATCAGCCGCCTCGCGCACCGCAGCTCATTCGAGCGGAGCAGAAGCTCAACACTTGCAGACAGATCTGCTCCTCGGCACTGGTGGTGACATCCACAGTAACCGCAACCGCCCCGACATGAGCTGCACTGATCCGGGTGGGTGTGTGTGTGGGTGAGGAGGGGAGGAGTGGGTGTCAGTGCCGCCGCCTCCTCCCTCCTCCAGTTCGGTTTTCAGCTCTGATCCGCAATGCGCCGTTGAGCCGCGGGGGTTCGGGCTCCCGATTGGCCGCTCGGGAATCCCTCACCGGCCGCCGGGTCCTCACAGTCAGGTGTTGGGGAGGAGGAGCGCCGCTATGGCGTCACCCACCACCACACGCGCGGCCGCCGACGCCAGTCCTCCCTCTCTCTGGCCGGAGGCGAAGAAGCGGCGAAGCAGAAAGAGAAAGAGTCAAATAAAAGAAGCCACAAAGAGAATATGAAAAAGCGATAACACATAAACCTGTAAACAAATCCTCTCCCGTCAACCGCACGATTCAGAGCGCGAGCGGTTGGGGGCGGGACGGCGGAGCGTCTGTCTGTCGGTCTCTCTGATTGACGGACGTGCTCTCCAATCAGAGCACGAGCTATGGCTCCGCCCCCCCCAGCCAGGTGGCAGGTGCTCCGCTCGCGGGGTCCTCTGGGACATGTAGTTCATGACGCTGCGCACGTCACTGCAGCCGATGGCGAGGCTTTGGGCTGAACTCTCCGGGAAACTCGTTCATTAACCGATCGATCAATGGATCCAGAAACGCTCCGCGCGCTCTCCCCCGACCTCAGGTTCCGCTCTCTCTGCGGCTTTATTATCTGCGCAAAGCCACTGCGGGAGAGCGCGCTCAGGTTCAGCGCCATCCCTTCAAACGCAGGAAAATGCAAAATATGTTCATTAAAACGTCTACAATTGCACCACAAACGTGAAAAAATGCGTTGCTGTTTTTCACGGTTATATTTGGATGTATCTGTGCAGCTCCGCGGTTTATGGCGGAATGAAGCCCCTCCGCGGGTTCGCCCCCACGCGGCGCTGCGGGACGGAGAATGAAGGTCGGGTTTACTCGATTAGTAGCACTTTTCCCCCAATATTTTGGTTTATTTTATGGCATTCAGGAAAGACAACAAAAGATCAGAAAATAGCAAACAATGCATTGTTCTAAACAAATAAATACTTAAAAAGCATAAGTTCTAAGAAAACTTAAAACATGATGAGGTTTTGTTGCAGTCAGTCCCGTGTGCGATCCACATGGAAAACCATCGTCATGTACAGCATTATCCGAACCTCAGAGTCCCACAGAGCATTGTTCTTGTGTTTGGGCTGAAGCGCTCTGGGGCGCTAACCTGTGTGAGGGGCGCTGTGCAAACACAGGCTGCTGTGGTTGAGTGTGCAATATCTACCCAGAGGATTGCACCCCAGTTAACTAATCCTGGGAAGTATTTGGTGGAAGTTGGATTGGAACTGCTGAGTGTGTTTGAGTTTAACCGACTTAAACAATTTATATTTAAGTGGTGTCACGTTGGGATGACATCTCAAAGCACTTCGCCGCTAATTTGGAGCCTGAGTTGGAGGCAGGAAAGGAAGATGGTTCAGAGTGTGGTCAGAAGGATAGGCTGAGGGCTGGTTTTGAAGGTGGAAGTACATAAGGGAATTCCAGAGAAAGTTGACAGAATACTGAAAGCTTAGATAGAGGGCATGATGTTGGGTCATTACCCCCTCCCCAACAGTTCTTTCTTAAGTTGTATTTACTACAGCTAAGTCAATTCTTAATCCAACGAGTTAATAATTTGCTACTGATATCATTGACCTTCAATCTTCTTTAAAAGTCAAACATGGATCTCTCCCTACCCTACTGCATCAAAGTTTGATTCCAGCACTGTGCAGTTACTTGACCTGAGGGGGTGCAGCAGTGGTGCTAACATTGGCTTCTCACTGAGATAGGAAGAGAGATTCATTATCCACAACTAATTACTATTAGTATGAATGTCAGATGACCAGATTCATTTGTGATGCCATTTGCTGTCAAGTAACCTTATTCACTGTCAATCCTGACAAATGAAAATGTTGCAGTAACAGAGGGTGGGACGCACCTGTGGAAGTATAGTCCAGCAAGTCAGTGTCATAAGAAAAACCCAAAGGAGGCAAAACAAAGATAAGACTCGCGTTCAAAATGTTATCAAATATCTTCTGAAAATTCTAATAAAATATATCCATTGACGAGCCTTCATCTACTACGATAACATTACTTTTTTAAAGAATTCAGAAGATTCATGAGGCATGATATATCACTTTGAAATTCTTATATCTTTCAGGATTTTAGATGGCCATTAATAGTTCATTATATGGTTTACTGACTTATAATCTCTAGGCTGCTTGTGTATCCTTTCTAAATAATGGGAAAACTCTTGTTTATGGACCTACTAAAATATTAACAAGGGCCTCATTTGTTTCATTGAGGCTGCTAAACTTTATCTCATTGGACTAGGCTGCTTTGTAGACCTTTAAAGCAAGATATTTCGCTTGCCATTAACTTATGTTAAATCACCTGATTTTAACATTTTCTAACTTATCCCTTAAAAAAAATCTTAGCTGATTTTCCATTCAAATATGTAATTGAATCCTGCTTGCAGTTTGTTTTTCTACAGTTCTCTTACCTCCTCTAATGCTCCTTTTAGATAACCTCAACCTCTTCCTGCATCCGTTGTCCATTCTTAATCACAGTTTATATTTCACTAGTGTCAATACTTTTACAGGTAAGTAGAGCAAAGAACTGGATTCTACTACTAATAAATATTATTATTAAATAGATGAAGTAGTATGTGTTAATGGTTTTACAGCATGCTCATTAGGAAAGAGATCCAGTGGTTATTACAAATAAACGTATGAAAAACTCCAGTATTTTGCTATAGCATATAAAGCCAATGAAGATGATGAAGACGATGGGTTGCATTAACTGAGAAGTACATTATCAAAAGAGAGGATTTGTTGTAGGATATTGTAGGTATGACCCATCTGTAGCACTGTATGTGCATATTATTGTAAAAATATATTTAGATACAAGTATTCAAGCAATCAAACAGAATATAGTACTTAGTATCAAGGTTATAAAGATTAAGCAATTAAGCAAAGAGAATAATTTATGTTGCAGTATCCTAACCAACAATCTTCAAGGTTTATTTGACTTATTGGCACATGGCTGCTACATTTGCCTACAGATAGTTACTGCATTTGACAGCATTACTGTAAATAAAAAGTTTAGAGAGTTTTAATGTGATAAGGCACTATAAAATGCAAGATTTTTTGTTTTCTAAATGTCTAAAACTAAAAATTAGCAAAAAAAAACCATCTTGCACGCTCCCACTCCATCTTTGTGAAACACATTGAAACATTTTCCCTTAATGAAAGGCATTATATAAAAGTAAGTTGTGTTGTTGTAGCAGAAAATATGAACCAAACAAAACTGTTAGGTGCCCAAAATATTTAGCACAAATATCACAATCCTTTCTGTTTGGTAAAAACATGAAAATAAAAGCTAAAAGTGATTCAGCCGTTTTAATGAATGGAATATAATAAATATATTGCTTTGTCCAAAATAACAGTACATTACAATATAGTTGTACATACAGATTAAATAAAAACATACCATTTAGATGTCAAAACATAAAATTTCACATTTATTTGAGGTAAATTTCTGATTTATTTTCAGTCAGAAATAACTCATTCACTGTATTATTTGGAGAAGATAAGAAATTTCTCCTCAAGACATCAGTCTACAACATTAAGCTATAGTTAGATGAAATTAATTTCAAACAGCAGTCAAAACAGGGCTTAAACATAATGGTATTTTAGGTGTACCAAAATATAGCGTTGTTTATTTCTATGCCTGTACTGATTTTTAAAAAAGTCCCTCTACTGTACTTCAGTAGTTATGTGGATATGCTGTTCTTGCCAGCTTCACAATATTTATGTAGGGTGGTAAAGACCACAGTTCACAATAGTATCAAGGCAATGCTTGAGATCCTCCAGCTGACCTATTTTTAACTACATGCATATGCCACATCTCGTATCATAAGATTCATCAAACCCACCAACAGTTTCATACCTTTGTCGTCTTTCTTCCCCATCAATTGGCAGAAATACCAGGTTTCGGGACACAATGCCATATAAAACATGCAGTTTTTGATAATACTTTCTCAGTCACAATATAAAATGCATTTTTTTAAAATTAGAATGCTCTTCAAACACAGTAATAAGAAGTGTCCTACTTATTTCTTACACACATGCTTTTTCTGTCACATCTTGGTCCACCCCCATGATTTTTTTTCATGTGGGAGTTGCTGCACTGTACTGTAAGATTACATGTTTCATGCAAGAAATACCTTTTTGATTAAATAGCATGACACTATTTGAAAATCAACTTTTGCAGTATTCGTGCACATGCTGTCAAAGACAAAGTAAATATCCAGTTTCTGAGAAAGACAACATGCCTAGAAAATGCAAACCTTCCAATATCACAATTTTTTAAAAAAAAGCAACATTTATCATTGGAAGAATACAAACTATCAATTTATTTAGAAGTGAACATTTTTGTTAGATTGATGGTTCTTTGAAAATTTTAATATGGTTAATAAAATAAAACTCTCAACTTAATACCTTTTTATTAAATCTAATAAAAACAAGAGGACAGTCAGTAACTCCAGCAATGCAATTTTGGATTAATATTTAGAGCACGTAATGTTTAATTTTGGTCTGAACTGTCATTTGAATTCTAATTTCCTGAATCTACAAGTTTTATAAGATCTACCTTGGACTGTTTGATTGTAGACTTTGGAATAGCAGTGTTTCACTTCCTACAAGAAATAGGCGGAAGTAAGACCAATCCTGCCCCACAGAAGCTATAACGGCTGTAAAATTCTAAAGGGAGAATTGGAAACATGGGGTTAAAATATAAGCTATAAAAAATTCAGTGCTTCAGTTTTCCAAAGAATTAAAAACAGTAAACAATATAAAAACATGGTATCCCAGTGCAAATGGTAAATACTATCGTAAAGTGTAACCAAGTATTCAGAGAAAACAAATTCTGTTCAAAACAGATTGGGCTCAGATTTGATAGGTTAGGATATATCCATAGCAACTTTTGAAAAGAATAAATACAATTAATCTGACCAGTGATTCTATTTAAAGCATTATTTTTTGTGCAGATATAAAATTAACAAAAGTTACGTTTGTTATGTAGTATAAGCTACAATTTTGTTCATTCAAATTATTGGTACTACTTAGCATTAAGGTAAGCAGAAGGTTGGCTGTACAAGCTAGCAATTAAGAGAATACTTTTAAAGAGTCAGAATAAGATACGAGCCAAAATCAGATCTGTAATAATCGCAGGAAGTCGCAACTGATCTTGGATATGACAAAAATAGCGAAAAGTTGAGTGACAGCCAGCATTGAACGTGTATTCAGCATTCACGACCTGGTTAAGTATTAGGGAATTTTCTGTTCATTAAGTTTTGGTACCAATTTTTATTTTGTTAAAAATACTATGAATACACATAAGAATCTCTTGGGGGAAAAATTCCAAAAGTAAGCTACTATTTGTGGATTGTAACTTCGTAAACTGTAATTCAAATGGAGATTCTGGGCAAAACTGACAAAGAATGGTGCTGTGGCACCATCCTTATCAATAAAACAAGGAACAGCTATTCACAGTTTTTTAGACGAATATTTGTACTTAGTTAACCACAAACAAAACTTGTTTCAGTGTGAGTGGTGATTCCCTTTATAATTTCAGAAAGTGGGACAATTCCATATGTTTAGATAATGGGCCTAACATGTGAGGTGTCCAAAATGTTTTTTTTTGTCAGCCAGATATCTGAAATATGTAGAAATCCTTGTTTAAGTGTCTCCAGATAAAACTACTGAGTTCTATATATGTATGGTTTCAGTTGCTCTGGCATGGAGTCTGCATTCTCTCCCTAGAGGGAAGCACCCTGCTTACCTGATCCCAGAAAGTTTTGGTGTAAGATGGCAAAAACAAAGCCTTGGGATCCCAGAGTGTGGTTTGGGGAAGTCTTGGGAATTAAAATTATGCATCTTACCATGGCCAGTGTGTCATCAATAGTGTATTGGGGTACTGTGGCCCTGAATGGATCAGCTATCAACCTACCAAGACTATCATATTAGATTGAACCAACTCTATTGCTAGATGGAGGGTCTGCTTTACCTATACCCAGACCACCCCCCACCCACACAAACACCCTGCCATGCCTACCAAGACTCCATTTCTAGGGCCAGAATCCTCCCTGCCTTTTTTTCAACCGTAAATTCACCTCACACTTTGATGCTGTAGATCATGTTTTTGTGTTGTTATAGGGAATTACAGATACAATTAATTATATAATTAACAGACAATAAAAAAAATTACAGAATCACCTGTAATCATTTCACAGGTTGTTAATTCCAAAAGCAAGCACATCTCTTTACACGTTTCAGACAAACTGCAAATTAAACCTCAATTTAATTTTTAGCTTCCCTTTAAAATGACTACTGTAGTATTCTTAAGCAAATACTCTCAAAATTACTTTGAAAAGAAAATATTTTAATAATTTTTTTTTGAAATTAACACATCACAGTATTGTTAAATAAGGTTACATAAAATATGTAACAAATAAAATTAAATGCTATACTGAAGGAAGCAGCTAGGTTGTTAGCAATAAGTAGAAAGTTCTGTTCTTTCATAGGTATAGTTTGCTTCATGCATCTGTTGTTGCTTTTCATTTTGCAGCTCCTCCTGCCATACTATTCATACAGTGTACATCTTCAATGTGATTATTTTTCATTTCCAGTGGTTTTGAGCACAGAGTCTTCTCCCAAAATTTTACAGAGTTCATTTAGTCGCTGTTGCATTTGAGGAACTCCAGCCAGTTGAGACTCGAGTCTCTGTTTTTCCTCAGCCAGGGAAAGTCGAGTGGCAGTATCCAATTGTTCAAATCGCCAACCACCCTCCCCATCAAACTGTAAAAGGTGTGTGTGGTATTTCCTATAAAATAAATTCAAATTAAGATCACAAGAATGTTTCTGTTCTACAAGCAGTGGAACACCTAGATGATTTTTTTAATATGTTGATCTGCATGTATGTGCCTCATAGTTTACTTCATTTTTAGTGTACCAACAACTCAACTGAGGAATCCAACAGTTTATTTTCCAGCAATATGTCAATGTTTAAAAATAAAATATAGTAATAATTATGTATTCTAATCTTTAAAAAAAAGCATTTTGTATAAGAATGTTTCTGTCCTTTATTACAGATGAATACTGTATTATGAAACAGAAATTATAGAAATACAGAGAACAGATTAAAATATTTTAGAAAGAAACCAAAATGTAGGTGCACCAAAAATACTACATCATTTACACCTACTGGATCCTCGTAATTTGTATTTGGTAAATTTGTATTTGACATTTTATGAATGGTTGCCTGTGGCTATAAAACAGTATATTTCTCCAGTTGTATGTTTGCTATGAGAGTACCTTGAAATGAATTCCTATTTTATTAAACCGCACCAGTTTATAACAGGTTTTGGTAGTTAGTTAATGTAGAAATCATAACAAAGTTTTATCACATAAATGTTATTAATACTATTCAAATATTATTAATGTATCTGGCTATGCAAGTTTCTCCCTTTTCCTCATAGCAAATGGCAATCACCAAACTTCATTCAACAGAAAATTTTGAAGATAATACCAGTAGATTTTTTTTGAATACTTTAACCTTCGTAGTGCCAGCATCTTAAAAATATTTGAGTATGCTCTTTGTCATTCATTTTTTAAAAAAATATATAACTTCAGGTAGACAGCCAAGTGCTAAACATAGATCAATGCCCTTAAAACCACTGTTGTGCCTCATTCTGGGCACTAGATTTTACCATCAAACTTTGCAATAACTGAAACTGTGTTGCAATAATACACATAATAGCATATATTTTACCTGGATTAATCCATGTTTAGACATTTTTTAAAATTATATATAGAGAGATATATACTTACCATAGAGATGGCCTGTGAGTAATTGAAAGTAGTGAGATTCCTGCATCTTTTGCAGTTTGAAATATCTTGCCCTCAACATCGATGCTTACAGCACTTGTGCATTCATCCAACAATGCATACATAGGCCTGCATAAAAACATATTAAACTAATAGTGAAACATAACACTGGTACAGTGTAAAATATGTCACCCGTTTAGAAATAATAGGTTCAAAATTCTGATTACAAATAAGATGTTTGACTAAAACTACTAAGAAGGAAGTTTCAACGATCAGGGTCAACGATCCTCCCGATGAAAAAAAATAGTCATTTATTTCATAGCTGATTGTGGGAGATTGTGTGTAGCATAGCTACCATGTTTACCAAGTAAATAATAATACAGGGTGACCAAAAAGTCGTGATACCATTACAATGTCAAATAAGTCTTAAATAAATTATACATTTTTTAAATAGGGTAGTTATCACGACTTTTTGGTCACCCTATAATAACCCTTATAGTTGATAAAGCACCTTTCACATTGGGAGGCTGTATCAAAATTTGCAGGATTTACTGTAAAGTGTATTGACTTGTGTATGCTGTAGACAAAAATGGCAATCAAATTGCATGCAATGTCCCACAAGCAGCCCAATTTTGTCTCGGGATAAGGACACTGGGAAAACTCCCTTCTCTTTTTAAATAGTGCCACAGGATCTTGAACGTCCACCTGATCAGATAGAAGGGACTTTGGTTTAACATCTATCTACAGAATAGCATCTCCAACATTGCAGTGCTCTCCGGCCACTTGTATTGGAGTGTCAGCCCAGACTGCTGGGACTTTGAATTACAACCTGTTGACTCAGAGGTTGGAATGCTACCAACTGAGCCAGGCAAGACTTCAGTTTTGATGAAGGGTCGTGGACCCGAAACGTTGACACACTTTCCTTTCTCCAAAAATGCTGCCTGACCTTCTCAGTATTCCCAGCGACTTCTGATTTTATTTCAGATTTCCAGCATCTGCAGTATTTTGCGTTTTGTTTTTAAGACTTCAGTCTGGTTTGAAAAAGGACTGATTTTGTTGTTTTGTTTATTTTTTGCTCATTTCTAAAGCAGTGAACTTTATGTTTGTAAAGAAGCTGCAATCTATTGGGTTTTTTTGGACTATGGATAAAGTCTGTGGTTTTCATCATCAAGGAAGTATCTTGACGTCTCTGTTGAATTAGCATGACTAGGTGATATTTCCATTTCAAGCATCATCCTAGTGAATCTTATCTGTGCCCTCTCTGTAGCTTTGATTTCCTGCCTAAAGTGGGGCACCCCAAAATAGACACATTGCTCTTAAATGACCTAAACAATGGACACTACAGGTGTCTTGCTATGAAAGTACTCTTTGCTTTTATATGCTATGTCCCTATTCATAAAACCTATATAGTGGAACCCAAATACAGAATATTATAAAAATAATCCTTGCATTTAATATAGCGCCTTATCGTGTCATTGAGAGATTTCAAAACACTTCACAGAATATACTGTAAAGTAGATTGACTGTGTATTTTATGGGCAAATCTATAAAATAGTGAATCCAATACAATATATTCTACATGTGCTTTTAAGACATCCTCCTGATATGGACGGTTCTATATCAAAAATGCAGGGATTATTTTTAATATTATTTTTATGGCACTTTGAAAAAGAAAAATATATTGCCTATTATCCAAACTTAAAGCTCATGATTGAGCAAAAAATAAAAACATTTTTTCAAAACAACAAAATCAGGCAACTGCCTTTTGAAACGTAATTTATCATCAAAACACTCCATTAAATGAATCAGAATGTAAATTGTAACAAATATGGTTACTCTAAATAGATTTATATTTTACAAGTTAATTAAACATATTCCACCTGTATTTTGTTTGGCCACTTTGGCAACAACGTTTCAATGTTTATTGTACACTCCACTCACTTGTGATAAAACATTCGTGCCATGCCCATTCTTTGTTTCTCACCCCCAGACAAGACATCCTTCCAGTCAGTTACTGCATCCCATCCTAAAGATGTACAAAATAAACTGTAATTTTTTTNCTCAGTTGCAATAGCTAGAACAAAATTTATATTCAAGAATGTGAATGACTAAAGAATACATTTACTTATAAAATTATGTTTAATTAAATCGTTCAAGCATGATACAATTTTCAAATCATACAAACAATTCACTTTTCAGTCTAGCCATGGTCATATCATAGATTACAAGAATCTGACAGGATATGTTCTTTTGCTGTCTCTTGCTACTGTGGATGCACAAAATTATAGAAATGTCAACATAGAAGTTTGCCATTCCACCAAACATGCTTGTGCAATTCCAATTGGTTTTCTGTTCATCGATATTCATTTTGTTTCCCTTTTTTTGGTTCATTAATTTGTGTTCATCCATCTATTCAGCAAACAATTAAAGAAATGCTTCACAAGATAATGAAGGTATCAATATTAATTTTAAAATGATTTACTAAAAATATTTGGGTATCCATTCCATACCTCCCTCTCTCTGTACTATATGATTCAGATGAACAATGTCTAATATATGTTCCAGATCCAGATCCGTGTACCCCTTCTCACACATATCTTCCACAGAGTCTGGGTAGATAACCTGATCTCTTAGCGTTCCGACAGACATATAGGGCCTGTGAACCCAAATAAAAATAAAGATCAGTTAATAAAATCATAAAGAATGCAATATTCTGTAGGTGTATTCTGTACTAGCGTGACGGGAATTAAAGGGATACTATCTTTAGGAGTGTTCAGGTGTATATTTTAAGGAAGACTTTAAGGAAGGCCACGTCATGCGCAATTATCATCAGAAGAAAATATTTCACAAACATGATAATAGTGTTCCTTTAAATGACAGTGCTGTCTATGTGCAGGTCTCACTTTTTCTTTTCAATAGACAATATTTTTTTGCTGCAGATTGTATTCAATAGGTTTATAGTTGCTAAAGAAACAAGGCATAAAAATCCCCAATTTCACATTAAGATGTTATAATAACTACTTATTTGGGAAACAATGTAATGCCATAAAATGCACAGTCACTCCAATTTACAGTATATTTTGTAAAACACTTTGAGGTGTCCTCCTGACATAAAAGACCCAATACCAAATGTAAAGGTTATTATTGTCATTCTCTGCTCCTTTTGTTGATTTAGTTTTGGCCTTACTTTTTTCTGTTATTTTTGTGTTAAAATAATTAAAGCAAGAAATTAAACTTTTTTTCTTCCTCAGATGTCTTATTTTTAAAGTTTTACTTGGGTTTGGGGCTGGTACTACTCAGTCTAAAACATTTACTTTAATAGTTTCTGTGGCTCACTTGTAAGTCAGAAGTGTAAGTGCACCAGTAGTGGCACTGAAATTATTATGTCTCATGCTATTATGAGCGATTATTAAAGCTTGATCAATGGAATCATTCAGAAGGCAACTGAGTAAACACACGGGCAGTAAACTATTAAGGCTACAGGAGAAAAGCTGGAAAATGGAAGTGATATAATAAAAGGTGATTGATTCACTAATACTTAGCAATGGCACAAACTTGATCGATTGAATGACCTCCTTCTGTGTTGAAATGTTTCTTTTTCTATGTTTATTGATAATGTTCAATTCATCTACTGTTAATACAGTCACTAGACTTTAAGTAAATCCTGTTTGGATATGGTGAGCAATGAGTCAACTTCCCCCTTATCTGAAGGATGCAGCTGACACTCGTAATGGTAAGGTCCAGCAATTCACTGTATTAACAGTGACATTTAAATTGTCTTTATGGTATACTATGAGAACACTGTTCCGTACAACTAAATCCAATCTGTACATTAATATTTACCCCTGAAGCAAATGTTTAAAACGTGTTACCATATGCCATTTTTCTTATCAGTTGGAGTTGTATTTTATGTTGACTTTTGTTGTTCTGGCCAACAACCTCCCAAATAAAATTGGTCATTCACTTCTTGGATGTTTGTGGAACAACCCTGTGCATATATTGGCTGCTTAGTTTTCCTATAAAATACATAGTCATTACACTTTACTGAATATCCTGTGAATTGCTTCAAAAATTCGTCCCGATTTGAAAGGCCACTAAATCAAATGTAAAGATTATTATCATTATTATTATTAGCTATGATTGCAGAAAACCATGCATCTTGCTGATCATAAGCTTGTTCTCTTGTATTAAAGGACATTCACTTCAAATCAGTGACTCTAAAGCAAAAAAGCAACGTAATGGATGATATTTTGAAACTGGAAAACATTATTTGTACAGATGTACAAATCCGGTCTTTGTTGAATAGCACATAACGCTTCATAAGTTTATGATTATTTGCTGCCTTTAATTATGGCTTTGTACAATTTGGAACAAGTGAAATACAACAACAACAAAATTACATTTGTATAGTGCCTTTCACATTGGGAGGACATCCCAAGGTGCTGGACAGTCAACTGGGATTGGGGAGGGTGGAGGGCAGGGGGGGAAGCAAGGTGATCGAAAGCATGGTCGAAGAGGAGGGTCTTGAGAAGGGTCTTGAAGGAAGCATGGGAGGGGGCAAGGTGGAGGGACTGTGGGATGGAGTTCAAGAGTGCAGAAGGCATTGGGGTAATGGTGGGGTGGGCGAGACAAGGGACGTGAAGCAGGCTGGAGCCTGCTAAGCGGAGGGAGCAGGCAGGATGGTAGGGGGTTAAGAGGTCGCAGAGTTAGGGGGAGTAAGACCATAAAGGTGACGACCAGGATTTTGAACTGTATCCTCTGTGTGATGGTAAGCCAGTGGAGTCAAGCGAGGATGGGGGTGATACAGAGTTCTGGACGATCTGCAGCCTACGGAGGGAGGAGTTGGGGAGGCTGACAAGCAAGGAGTTTGTATAGTCAAGCCTCGATGTAATGAATGCGTGTATGAGGGTTTCGACGGCCTGTGGTGTGAGACAGTGGCGGAGTCAGGCGATGTTGCAGAGGTGGGGGAAGGCAGAGTGGGTCATGTAAGGTAGAAAGGATAATTGAGGGTCAAACAGGACGCCAAGGTTCTGGACTGGCTTAGTAAGGTGGAGTGTGCATCCATGGATGGTGATGCTGTCCGTTCTTGAGGTGTGGAGGTGCTGACTGGAGCCAATCAGTCATGTTGACGTTCAACTGAAGAGAGTTAGCTCTCATCTAGGACTTGATGTCCAACAGACATTCTGTCAGGATAGCAGTGATCCTGGAATCAAGGGTGGAGGCAGAGAGGTAGAGTTGGGTGTCATTCAATGTCTGTGAGTAGGAGGGACAAGGAGGTGGAGCTGGGAGGTAAGGAGAGGGGTAGGGTTGGGGTCGAGGGAGCAGGTGGTCGATTTTATGCGGGTTATAGTGGTGGTCAGAGAGGAGTAGAGGACAGATTTGAAGCTGTGCAAGGAGAGATGGGTAGGGGCCGGATTGTGAGGGGGAGATGGAGATGGGGTAGTAGATGGAAGCGCAGAGCAGCTGAGGGATTCCCTTGACATTGGATTCGAGGAAGTCCAGCATCGCCCCGCAGTTAGCTTTGGAGGTGAGGATGGGCGAGGTGTGAGAGGATGGGTGGGGGAGCCGGTTGGTGATGGAGAAGAGGAGCCTGGGGTTGTCCTTGACCTCCAAGATTGTCTTGGTGTAGAACACTGATTTAGCGGAGGCAAGGGCGAAGCGGTAAGATTTGATAAGGTCCAGCCAGATCTGCCGATGGACTGTTAAGTTCGATTTAAGACAGGTGCGCTCAGCGGCACGTACCTGTGCTTTAAGGGGGCGGAGGTGGCTGGTGTGTACCACGGTGACTTTCGTGAGTAGGAGATGGTTTGGGAAGTGAGGGGTGCAAGGGAATCGAGAGTAGTGGAAAGGGAGCTGTGGAAAATGAATTATAATTTTTCTTTTGGGTCAGAAAAACTGAAGGTACTCACCTCTGTGGAATATAAAACATGTATTGAGGTGGAGGTTTATACAAAACTCCACCATAGACTGGCCATAAACCACTCAGGATCCTAAATAAAGAACTTTTTCCACAGCCATTGGGTCCAGTGATAAGGAGATGCATGCCTTCCTCAACCTATGAGAAATTGAAAATAAGCAAAATCACATTTTCTCAGATGTTATTGCATTTAAAACTCTATAGTATGAAAAGTGATTAGGACTAATTATCTCCAAAATACAAAATATTAATCTTCTGTCATGAAAGCATATTTTATGAATGTTTAATATAACATTAAATAGAATAGTTAAAATGCAGGTACTGTGTCTTTCATTTATAAAAAAAACTGGTATAGTCGTTTAGTGTGATCTAACACTGCTGAGAGCAGAAATAAATCTAATTTGGAATTACTAACTCAAACTAAATATTTTGTTATAATAACTATAATAATCCTTGTATTTGATATCATGCCTTATAAAGTTGCTGAGACGTCTCAAAGTGCTTCACAGAATATACTATAAAGTGAATTTACTGCATATTTTGTGGCCAAAATGCGGAAGCCAATTGCTCACAGCAGGGTCCCACAAAATCGTGGATTGAGTGCCCAAACTATTATCATTTTTTTTTGAAGGGATTATTACGCCCAGAACGCGATCCGCTAATCAACTAACAACCGGGTTCCTTCATACTGCTAGGTAAGCAGAGGTGTGTGAAGTAAGGAAACTATCCAATGTTTCGCCCTGCCCAGGAATCAGCATGCTCATCTCCATACAAAAATTATATTAGCATTTTGTGATTTAATTGTTTTGCGACATTACTAGTGCAGATGTACTGTTAACCTTAGGAATTAAAACAGATGTGGCCAGGCAGAAAGCAAAAAAGACATTGTACAGGACCTGAAATAATTATTTATGGATTTGACAGAGTAAAATGAAGGTAAAAGAAAAGAAGCATTTTGACTTTCATCACCCAACTTGGCAACGTGTTCCAGCTGTTAATTACCTTCTGTGTACATAAATATTTTTAAACTTTCCCCATTATTCTTCCAGTAATATCTTGAATCATGCTCCTTATAGCATTCAACCAATCCGATAGAAATATTTTATTGTTTATATTGTCAACCCTTTCATAATTTTGAATACTTCTATTATATCCTTTGTAAACCTTTTCTCCTATCATAAATTTAGTTAGTCTTTCATTTTTTACCAGTTTTCTTCTCTAAATTTCTCTACATCCCACTTCTGAAGATTTTTGACTTTGTTTCCTCCCCACGTTACTCATGTTGAGTTCCATGGGCGTTCCCACTGATATATTATCACAGTGTTCATTATTCTTCATTATTCATTATTCATGAGCCTTCACAGTGAGTTACAGGCTTTTCAACTGATCCCTTCCTCACCCAATATCCATGTAAGTGTACATGCTTCTACTATATTTGATATAGAAAAGTTTTCAAGCACAGATTTAGAAGTTAATAATGCATTGATTAAGCGTAAGAAAGCAGCCAAGTAGATTTTTATCAAAAGAAAAGAGTAACAGGCTACAGGAGTAGCCTGTCTAAGAGGCCACAGAGGCTAAGCCTACCCCACTCAGTTTCTAATGGCTATCAATGCAAATTATTGTACATCCAGTTTTACAAAGTTGCATAATTACATACGTAGTAAGCATGCAAGTTCACATATGCAAATAACTACATTTATTTTGTGCCTATAATTCAAGGGTGCTTATACCTTTAGAGTTAATTATAATAATCCTTGCATTTGATATAGCGCCTTATTACATCTTTGAGATATCTCAAAGCGCTTCACAGAATATACTGTAAAGTGAATTGACTGCATATTTTTTGTGTGCGAAATGAGGCAGCCATTTGTGCTCAGCAGTGTCCCACAAACACTTATGAATTGAAGTGACCAATTTATTATTTAAAATTTAAAAAAAAAAATTTAAGAGATTATTACCCCAGTAAAAGCAATTCGCCAATTGACTAACAACCGGGTTCCTACTTATTGCTTGGTGAACAGAGGCAGATGGAGTAAGGAAATTTGTTCAATGTTTTGCCCCGCCCAGGAACCAATCCCAGGTCCTCTCGCTTGCGAAGCAAGTGCTCTAACCACTACGCTACAGGATTCCACGGGATGGGATCAAATTAAATGTGTTTCTCACCTATCCTCCAAATAATAATCCCTCCAAAACCAAAAACAATAATAAATTGGTCATTTTCAATCTACGACTGTCTGTGGGATATTGCTGTGCGCAATTGGCTGCTGTGTTCGTCCACAAATATACAGTCAATTCACTTTACAGTGTGTTCTGTGAAGCGCTTTGGGACGTCCTCCCGACCTGAAAAGCGCTGTATCAAAATGCAAGGATTATTATTATTATCCTATTACAATATTTAATAATACCATTAATGTGATACAAGAAATTTCATTTTGACAAGTGGTATTGAATGGAATGAACAACATCCTTCAAGTATTTCTTGATTCTCAGGAACTAATTTAACTGTTGTTCAATGATCATCTGCTGGATTGTACGGGGAAAAGGATACAATGAACAAAATGTACAATGTTTTATTGTACAACCAAAAGAAACTAAATCAGCAAACAACAAGTGTAGGGTTAGAATCAGAGAAAGGCACGTAAGTAGAAAATCAGAAATTAAGACAGACAGACAAACAGAGGTAGCAATAGCCTTAAAAGGACATATTCAGAGGACACATAGGCTGGGCCAATAGAAAAGTGTGGCTGCACTTTTCCCATGGAATCTGCCACAAAACCCCTCTGCTATAAACCCGCTATGGTGGAATCGTTAGCTCAGTGGTTAGAGCACTCTCCTCCCAAGCGAGAGATCTGGGTTCGATTCCCAGGCAGGATGAAAGTTTGAGCAAGTTTCCTTACTCCACACTCCTGTTTACCAAGTAGTAAGCAGGAACCCGATTGTTAGTCGATTGGCGGATCGCTTTTCCGGGGGTAATAATTCCTTAAAAAAAAATTATTCACTTCAATCCCAGACACAGTGTGAGACACTGCTGTGTGCAATTGGCTGCTGCGTTTCGCCCACAAAATATACAGTCAATTCACTTTACATTATATTCTGTGAAGAGCTTTCAGACTTCTCGAAGACATGATAAGGAGCTACATCAAATGTAATTTATTGTTGTTATTTCAAACGCAAGATTATTATTATTATAAATTAAGTTTCAGTGCCCGGGTCTCTGCGCTGTGTATCCGATGCAACTGTGAGTGGGGCGACTCCGGACCCGCATGTGCAGTCTAGCGCAAAAGGCAAATGGGCTTCACTGCACTCGGAGGCCCCACTGTTGTGAGTGTCTTTGTGAATGTGTGTCTCTCTATGTCTTTGTGAGGGTCTGTATAAGTGTCATGCTCTATGTATTTGTGAGTGTGTGTGTGTGTTTGAGTGTCTATGTGAGTGTCTATCTCCATGTGTTTGTGAGTGTCTGAGTGAGTCTCTGTGTGTTTGTGAGAAATGTGTCTCTCTCCTCTGTATATGTGTCTGTTTGTGAGTGTCTCTGTGTGCATGAGTGTATTTCTCTCTCCTCTGTCTATGTGCGTGTATCTCTCTTTGTGTCTGAGTACGTGACTCTCTCTGAGAATGCGTCTGTGTGTGTCTCTCCTATATGTCTATGTGTTTCTGAGTGTCTGTGTGAATAAGTATGTGCGTCTCTCCTCTGTCTGTGTATGCCTCTTTGTGTCTGAGTGTGTCTCTGAGAATGTGCGTCTCTCTATGTCTGTGTCTCTCTCGTGTCTGTGAGTGTGTTTGTGTGTGTGTCTGAGTGTGTTTGTTTCTCTGTGTTGCTGCGAATGTGTGTCCTTCTGTGTCTGTGAGTGTGTGTCTTTCTCTGTGTCTCTGAGTGTGTGTCTGTCTCTGTGTATGGGTGTGTGTCTGTGTCTCTCTCTGTGTCTGTCTGTGAGTGTGTGTGAGTCTCTCTCTGTGTCTCTGAGCGTGTGTCTGTTTGTGGTGCTGGGCGCTGAGAGGCAGGAGGTGGTGAGCTCCTGTAGCCTCACAGTCAGGACACTGGCCCTAAGTGTCTTTTTGGGGGGATCTTTGGGCCTATGCTGGTGTGTGTGTCCCCACCCTCCCCACCCCCTAAATGGGCCACCCAGTTTTTGTTAAAAAAGCAATTAATTTCTTTTGCAACAATCTAATATGTGTTATTTCCTCATGTGTAGTTTTTATCAATAAAGTGAAAACATTTAGGTGGTAGTAACATGTACCTCAATAACACCAATCAACCCCCTGTAATTTTCTGCAAAAAACTTCAATTTCTCCCCGCCAGATTCGCAAATTTCCACGCAATTTGGGGCAAATATTTCCGCACCTTTGTATTGGCCCAGCTCATAGGTGATATTAAGAGGATTTTGAAAATAGGCCCTGAGGAATCAGCCTATTCTTCGCAGTCTCCTGGATAATTGAGGACACATTAAATTTTATTTAGTGCACCAAACTATATAAAAAGTATTGGCATGTGGTTGTAAAATGAATTATTGCTTTCACAATTATCGTACCTCACACAGAAAGTAATGATGAAGTACACATTAGTTCAGTATTAAAAAACAATAATCGACATACTACTAAGCAAGTTAAGTAGTTGTTAATATGTTTAATAGTGTTCTTTTATTTAATGCTCACCTTTAAGTTTAAGCTAGAAACAACCACATCTCCACTTGGAGTAATAATTGGAACATTCTCACATACAATGCCCAGATCAACATCAATAACTTGTCCTGAAAGACAAAATATAATTAAACAATTATTGAATTGATCAACATAAGCTTAAACAATTCAAATCGCAGAAAAGATTTCATAGAATATCACAGGTCATCTGATGAGTTGGGATATCTAATACTTTTGCTAACATTTTATGACCTGATAATTGATTGTTCAAAATAAATTATTAATTACCAATGCTAGAAAGAGTGTATGATTGTGCTAGATTGTCATTCTTTTCATGGCCAAATATCCTGCCAACACATTTTTTTAGGTATGTATACAAAGAACTATCTCCAAGGCAAGATAAAAACTGTTTTTGAGAAACTATATCCCAGCTCATGTCAGTGCTTCCAGCAATGGGAGAAAATTAGAGTTGGCAAACTAGAGCGATCCTACCCACCAACTTCTGTTAACCATGCAAACATAAGTCCTGATGGGTAGGATGGCCTAGCTGGACAAGTAGCATTAAGTTAGCCAGACAATACTCTCAACGACAAGCAGTTTAAGCTGGTTAAACCAGCAGTACCTTAATGTACTCTGGAGGCTCCAAGCCTTGGCTCCAACAAACCTGTGCCTAATATTTTCCAGCATTAGGTCAGCAGGGCGGATTCCTCCACTGAGTGTATTCATTCAAGACACAAGTTTCCATGCATTTATATGTGGAATTTTCAGTCCATTGTGGATACCTTTAAGCATGGTGTTGTGTGTTCCCTATGTGTCAAGACAACAACAACAACTTGCATTTCTATAACGTCCCTCAGGCAGGGTAGCATCCCAGACACTCAGCTAAACAAAAAATGGATGTATCAAATGAGAATAAAAAACATACCTACTGATAACTTGATATAATTTACCATACCATGCCCACCCCCCATTCCCATTGCATCCCTTCAACATCCTGGGAATGGTTCCAGACAGATGCTCCCTGATCCCAAAAGAAATTGGACAATTGTTGACAATATATCCATTCCCATCTCCATTAACCCTGCACATCCAACACAGACATTTCTCCTCTCTGACCCCTGAGCAGAGAAACTATTATATCAATGGATTATTTGCACAATCAGTCATGATCCTTGTGGACTTGTGGAGTCCTGTAGCTCAGTGGTTAGAGCACTCGCTTTGCAAGTGAGAGACCTGAGTTCAATTCCAGGCAGAGGGCGAAACCTTGGGCAAGTTTCCTTACTCCACACAGAGCCTAATAATAATCCCTCCAAAACAAAAAACAAGAATAAATTGGTCATTTTCAATCTACGACTGTTTGTGGGACATTGCTGTGTGCAATTGGCTGCCGCGTTCGCTCACAAATATACAGTCAATTCACTTTACAGTGTGTTCTGTGAAGCGCTTTGGGACGTCCTCCCGACGTGAAAAGCGCTATATCAAATGCAAGGATTATTATTATTATTATGTTAATCAAATTTTAATCAGTGATCTTAACCTCTTAGTTGGAATCCAATTTCGGATTAAAAAACATAAACAAATACAAATAATTAAAAAGTAATGTACCGCGTAAATGAGCAGAAACCATTAACTGCAAAATATTTGATGTATTGAGAAAGGCAAACTAAGTAGGTTTCGATAATTTCAAATAGGAACTTGAAACTACCATTAAATAAAACCTGCATTCTAAATTCTACTTTGCATAATAAGTTTTTTTTCTCTATTTAACCATATTGAAAAGTACTGAGTTACATTTGCACTTCATTTACTTTTGATTTAACTGTTGTCAGACTTCTTCATGAAGTCCTGCAATCAATGAGAGAAGAGGAAGGTTAAGAAGAAATAGAATCAATCATTTCCCTTATGTCAAAATAGCAAAGGTTATATAAAGATTAGAATTTCATGAATGTAGGCAGGTCTGGAAACGTAATATGGAGGCCAACTCAAATGGTCTTCGTAATTCAAATACAAACTTTAAGGCACTGGGATGCAATCAATTGTCTTATGGACTTCACACCCTCAATTGTATTCTCTTCATGACCTGACAACCTCCCTACCTCTCCAATCTGCTAATATCCCACTGCCTCAATCCCACTTTAAAGTCTCTGATTTTATTCTCAGCCTCCCTTTGCTTGTCCAATGGTAATTTCATAGAATCAAACAACCATACTGCACAGAAGGAGGCCGTTCAACCCATCATATCTGTGCCAGCTCTTTGAAGAGAGCTATCCAATTCAATCCCACTTCCCCACTCTCCCCCCACAGCCTTACAAACATGTCCTCCCCAAATAATTTTCTACTTCTCTCTTAAAAGTTGTTATCGAATCAGCTTCCACCACCCTTTCAGGCAATGCATTCCAGATCCGAACAACTCGCTGTGTGAAAAAATTTCTCCTCACCTCCCCTCTGTTTCTTTTAACAACTATTTTAAATCAGTGTCCTCAGGTGGGTACCAGAACTGAACATAATACTCTTGCTGAGACCTAACCAGTGTTTTATAAAGGTTCATCATAACTTCCTGACTTTTTTAATTCTGTGGCCCTAGTTATAAAGCCTCGTATCTCAGACGCTTTTTTAACAGCTTTATCTACCTGTCCTGCCGCCTCCAATGATTTACTTATATGAACCCCCAGGTCTCTCTGTTCCTTCACCCCCGTTTAAGATTGTACCATCAGCTTATATTGCTTCTCCTCATTCTTCCTCCACATTAAACTTCATCTGCCATGTGTCTGTCCATTTTACCAGTCTGTCTATGTCCATTTGCAGTCTGCTGCTATCCTCCTCACTGTTTACTACTTTTCCTAACTTAGTATCATCTGCAAACTTGGAAAGTGTACTCTCTATACCCGTCCAAGTCATTTATATAGATCAAAAACAGCAGTGGTCCCAATACTGACCCCTGGGGGACACCACTGCACACTTCCCTCCAGTCAGTGAACAACTATTCACCACCACTTTGCTTTCTGTCTCCCAGCCAGTTCTGTATCCATGCTGCCACTGTCCCTTTAATACCGTGGGCTTCTATTTTGCTTACAAGTCTCTTATGTGGCACTTTATCCAACGCCTTTTGAAAATCCACATAAACTACATCAACTTCACTACCTTCATCCACCCTGTCCATTACTTCATCAAAAAAACTCTGTCAGGTTTGTTAGACATGATTTGCCAACAAATCATGTTGGCTGTCCTTTATTAACCCATATTTTTCTAACTGAAAATTTATTTTGTCCCGGATTATAGTCTCTAGAAATTTACCCACTACTGATGTTAGGCTGAATGCCCTGTAGTTCATTGGTTATCAATGAAAAGAAACCCTGACACGCCATACAGCTTGTCTGATATTTTGTGTATTTAGCTCTGTGCTTCTCCTCTCAGATGTCTTAATGGGGTTTCTTCTGGTGCAGGAGCCTCTCGGGGGTGACATTCACCACAACAAATCAATGAGTTCAGTTGTTCCATGCCCTCAAACTGACAGCTAAGAATAAAATAATAATGTTCCTTGCATTGGCAGTGACTGAATTTTGTAGATGAACAAAAGGTACCAGGAAGCTTAACTTCCTAGCGTGTGCTAGGGTAAAAATAATTGAAGTTGTGCATCCTCTTCAACCAAAAGACACTTTATATATTGAAATCACTGAGATCGCTTTCTAAGGACATCTTTCACTTGGAACAAGCATTCACAAGAAGCTCCTCACTGAGAGGGTCTACAAGATGCAGTTGTGTAGGAGATCTTCACCTAACCCAGTCCACAAATCCCAGTCCCACTGGGGATGCCTGGAACAATCCACTGTGGGAGAGGTACAAATCCTGTGGTCAGAAGTCAGCGAAGATCCCTACCTATATAGAGAACCAGGCTTGATCACCTCTGCCCAACTGTTTGGAGTGCCGGTCTAACGATCCTGTGCTGGTGTGGCTGCTGTTCTACACAGTCGTTGTCAGACATTTTCTTCAGCCAACCAAATACATTTTGGGGCTTCAAAAAGTCCACTGAACACCCGAACAAGACTAGGCAAGTCCACACCAAATCAATGCCTTGTTTCCAATAGCTAACGAACCTTGAGAATGGGGGTAAATTAAGAAAAATTCAATAAAGAAAAGTTGGCCAGCAAATTGAGGAAATCAGCCAACCTCGTGGTTAGCCAGTCCCATGCCCCAATGCTATGGCCAAGAATGCTACAATACGTTGGTAATAGCTCTGTATGCCCATCTTCACCAATTACAAATTTCCTCTTAGTTCTATAATATTCTTTGGTAACTTTAACAAGTTGTCGCTGGCTGTTGGCATTGAACACTTGCAAGGGAACCTTTGATCAGCAGTTCCAAATATTTGGCTGCACCTTAACGTCATGGTGCAGCCTCCTTTGAGTTTCCACTCTACTGTTGCCATCAATGTGCTCCTATTAGCCAGGTGGTATGATATCTTAATAATAACAATAATCCATGCATTTGATATAGCGCTTTTCACGTCGGGAGGACATCCCAAAGCGCTTCACAGAACACACTGTAAAGTGAATTGACTGTATATTTGTGGGCGAACGCGGCAGCCAATTGCGCACAGCAATGTCCCACAAACAGTCGTAGATTGAAAATAACCAATTTATTCTTGTTTTTGGTTTTGGAGGGATTATTATTAGGCTCTGTGTGGAGTAAGGAAACTTGCCCAAGGTTTCGCCCTCTGCCTGGAATTGAACTCAGGTCTCTCGCTTGCAAAGCGAGTGCTCTAACCACTGAGCTACGGGACTCTTAACAGTTATGCTTCTAGATGTACACAGAATAGCATTTTAGCCACCTTGGATTATATACCACTTAGGTTCTGGATCTTGTTTCTTTGACTTTTTTCCCTTAAATAATGATAATTTCAATAGCAATGTTTTCTTCAGATATGAATGATGTTAAACACAGAATTAAATAGGCTGTTGAATTCTGCTTTGATACATGGTACCCAAAATATTTTGCGCATAATTATTGGTGGGAACAAACTATTTCTACAGCTACAGAGATACAGAGACCAGAGACCAAACACTAGTAGACTCAGAATAGTCTGAACTTGCACAGTACAATACAAAAACAT